TACATCTAGCCTCCTCTTAAAGACCCCCAAGATAGGAGCCAGCACCACTTCTCTTAGAAGTTGGTTCCAGATCCTAGCCGCCCTGACAGTGAAGTAGTGCCTCCTGATATCTAGCCTAAATCTACCCTTTGCCAGCTTGTGACCATTATTCCTGGTCACTCCTGATAGTGCTTGGGGGAACAGGGACTGCCCCAAAGCCTGCTGGTCCCCTCTGACTAGTTAGCAAATGGCCACTAGATCCCCCCTCAGCCTTCTCTTGTGGAAGCTGAACAGGTTCAGGTCCCGTAGCCTCTCTTCATAGGGCCTGCCCTGCTGCCCCCTGATAGCTAATACAACACTTAAACGGGCAAGAAATCAATGAAAAGGGATAAAACCTGACTTTTGTTAGTATCCCTTAGGGTAGACCATTGGCCCACCAAGTTTAATGCCCATTTCAGACCCACCTCTGGCTGTGGGATGGGCTATGGCAGTGGTGAGGTAAGAGGCATCTAGAAGTCACAGAGGTTAATGTAGCTATCACTTGCCTCACTGCTGCTGAAATGCATTCCTAGTGGAGCGCTGTTCCCTGGAATTTGGCATGGGCCCTGCCCCCACTTATCCCACCCCTGAATTACCAGCCCCTCCTTGAGCCTGGTTAGTTGACTAATGCAGCTTCATGGGCTGGAAGCAACCTGTGAGCTAGATCTTTGGCACCCCTACCTTAGACAGAAGAGGTCCTGCTTGATAATTACTGATGGAAATAGTAGTTTTGGTTACCCAGGCTTTGTCTCATACACTTCAGATTCAAAATATTGTACATATATATGAATTCAAGTTAAAAAGTGATGGACAGAACAAGGAACACTGGGAATCCAGATACCACATTAGGTAGAGACTGGTGGTGAGGCCACCAAGTTACCACTCCCAAATGGCAAGCATTTGGTCAAGAAAAAGAGCAAGCAGTTAAGCATCCATTTTGCATTTTGTGAAGCACATTTAAGTCTTATTTTCTGATGTGTCCTTTTTTTGCCTTTGCTCCCAAGAGTAAGGGGGTATCTGTATAAGTTGTCTGGAATTGCACTATGGAAGACTAAAGGACTTGTAGGACTAAGGCTCTAAAACCATAACATTAATATTCCTTGATTTATCTTGTTTTTAAAAATTTAGGGGGAGAGGCAGAAGGATGGAAACATTTCTGTACCAAGGGATAAGAAGGGAGGCAAGGAGGTATACATCAGTTCAGAATGATCTATTTCTTTTTTTGGTGGAGGTAGGGGCATGAGTGTTTGAATTTCACTTTGATTTGAAAGTTTTAAAACCAAATGGATATTTGTTTTTGTGCTCTGTCCCCTTAGTTTATATACAATCTACACATTTCTTTTTGACCCAAGTTGTCAAAACTGCCATTGCTGTAACATATTATTTTAATATGTTGTGCAATATTTGGGGGAAGGATCATCTTGTGGTTAAGGCACAGGAGATCTGGCTTCAGGTCTGTGTTCAGACATAATAATACTCCCTTTCTCCTACTCCATCTGTTGATGTTGTGAGCTCACTAAGGCAAAAGCTGCCCCTTAAACTTCATCTGTATGGTTCTGGCAAAATTAGACTTACTGTGCTACTGGAATACAAATATTAAATGTACAGACTGTTGGAATGACACTGTGGTATACTGGATATTGATCAGGTTCTACTTGACATAGACAGTGCCAAAGACTGCTTGTGGTATACTTATTTGCTTATAAGCATCCTTACTGAATTATATTATACATTTGATTTTTCCCAAAGGAATGCATTTGATACATGGACCAAACAATTGTGGCCACCCTGCCATTCAGAAGCACTTACACAAGTGGGATGCTGCCAGGAAATGGCATGCCTGGCAGGCTGAACCAAACCACAGAACACTATATAATCTTTCCAGTGATTTCCATTTGAAATTCAGCCCCTAAAGTGTAATTAGAAACCATAGTTTTCTGCTTAGGACTACTTCAGCCTAAACTACAACCTCCATTTCCCTTAATTCTATCTGTCAGGTTTTTTATTACTAAGATGCAATATATTAACTGCTCTTACACAGATGCTGCCAGTGACACAAATTTCTTCTCTGAGAAGTTTCTTAAATGCTCAATTTGTGTAGCTGACATTTTCAGTATTGGAAAAATATCTCTGCTGTGCAGTTCCTTTCACTGCTGCAATAACTTTAACACTTCCTTCTCAGTTACCTTAAGACTGTAATCACCAGATGCCAGTTGTCATGCTATTCCTGTTAATTATCCCCTATTTGTACAAATAGGCCAAGTTGAATCATACATTAAAAAGTTACTTGCTACCTCTGTTCTCTGAAAAGTATGGAGATGCTTTAAAAAAGTAATTTAAATTCATGTAAATGCAGATTGTTTTATAGAAACATTGCTGATTTGTTTTTCTTGGCCAAGAGATCATATTATCATTTATTAATTGAAATCAGTAACATTTTATAAAGTTAAGTATGACCACTGGGATACCAATATAACCTTGCTTTTAAATTCCAAATAGTGTTTTCTCTATCCTAAACATTTGTAAAAATTAAATGAAAAAAGTAATGCAAGAAATAATATTTCGCGCTCTCAGTAAAATGTACATTGGAAATGAATTTCCTATACCTCACAGCATTTCCACCTGTTGTGTTCCCTACTCTCAGTAGGTGGTGCTGTTTTCTTATAGAAATTTACACTACTCTGATCTCTGTCTCACAAATGTTATACAAATGGAAGGATTCAATTTAGTTCTGTTCTTACCTGCCTTTCTTTAGGGAAATCAGATTTACAGATATTAAAGGCTCACCCAGGCAAGAAACAATTACAATTCATTAAAAAATCCCCTCCTATGAAAATTAAAAGGCAGTTTTGTATAATTACTCCCCCACTATTAAATACTTTTATCTGGAGTTGGGTTTATCTGCCAGGAAGCTTGGAAATACTGCCACACATCTCCAAGGCAGTAATTAGTTGTAATGGGCCTGATCCTCTCTTCGATAGATGTCTCTGGCAGAGTATAGGATCTTATGGGTCCAGGAAAGGAAGGGCCGAATTGGCTATTCTCATGATCGCATGGTATTCTGTGGGTATGCGTGTGCCTAATTTCTCGGGGGAGGTGCGTGAATGAGAGGGAGGGATGGGGCAGTGTCTGAAAGGGAAGGAGAAGCAACTTGTGTGTGTGTGTGTAGAGAGGATGGGAGAAAAGTGAGGGTGTGTGGGAGGGAAGGAGAACTGTGTGCGTATGTTGTAGATAGGATTGGAGAAAGGTGTGGGGGGGCGTATGGGAGGGAAGGAGAAGAAGTAAGTGTGTGTGTGTGTGTGTGTGTGTGTGTGTAGACGGGATGGGAGGAAGGTGTGCATCCTCCGGAAGAAGTGAGGGGAAGACAGGTCTGAATGTGTGCCTGCGGAGGAGGGAAGAAAGGTACGTGCTTTTAGATGCGTTTCTGGAGGGGAGGTTGTGTGGCGTCTAGGACGGAGGGGAGAAAGATATGTGTGCACAAGGGAAGGGTTGGGTGAGGAGAAGGGAGGTGCCTGGGATTGAGGAAGGAGTGTGTGTGAGTAGGAGGCAGGGCTCTGGGGGCGCGGGGGAAGGGTGTGTGTGTGTGTATGTTCAGTCCTTGTTGGAATCCTTCTGTCTCCTAAACTAGGCACAACGTCTCCCCAAGGGACAGCACAGCCTGGCAAGGCTCTGTCCGGGTGTGCCCCTCTCCAGCTAGTCTGCAGCATTTCTTTGGGAGCCCGCTTAGCTTCTGAACAGGTGGGAAATCGCTCCAGTCAGGGATTAGCATCGGTGCCCCCTTGTCTCTGCCCTGGTGGAAGCATCTCTTATCTAACGCTGCCTGCCCCTGAGCGCTGCCTCCTGTTCTCTCCTCCCCCGCTCTGATCTTGGTAAGCCATTCCTTCCCACACCAGCCCAAGGTGACAATTTCGCCCTCCCCCCTTCCCGCCTCTCCAGCTCTTTCCCAGTCCTCTGTCTCCACGGGGCAGTCCAGCAACACGCTAGCATCTGCTCTCGGTCGCAAAGCAGCAAGAGGCATCGGTTCAAGGAGCCTCCCTTCCCCTGGCCAACACTGTGCTGTGCCCGCCCTGAAACCCCAAATCCAAGCCCGATCCAAGTGGGCAGCAGGCACAGCTCCGTGTGTGTGTGTGTGTGTGTGTGTGTGTGTGTGTGTGTGTGTGTGTGTATGTGTGAAGGGGGTGGTCCCAAGGGGCCTGGGGCTTCAACCGGAGCCGCTTCACATGGGATCCAAAATGAAGCCGCCTTTCAATGAGAGTCCTTCAGCTTCCCCGCGGGGGCCGAGCCAAGGAAAGCAGCTCTCTCCCTCCCAGGGCCAAGGAAATCGCGCTTTCTAGCCGGACTGAGTTGCTCCCTTCGCGCTCAGCCTCCAGGACGGTGCCTGATCCTTGGGGTTTAGCCTCACAGCTCCGTCCCGGCATGACTCCTTCTCCTCCCTGCCCCGTGGCAATCCCCTGCCCCTATCCCCCCGCCTCCCCGCATCCCTTTCACCTACCTGATGATGACATACATAACCAAGAAGTTGCCGAAGAGCCCCACCACGCACACGACGGAGTAGAGGGCCATGATGGTGATGGCTGTGATCATGGAGGGGCTGCCCCCCGGGGCCGGGCACAGGCTGCCGCCGCCGGCTCCCCTGCTGCCGTTGCCGCCCCGGCACAGGTCGGACTGGTTCCAGCCGTGCTCCTCCAGGCGGGCGGACAGGTTGCCCCAGGCGCCCGCGGGGCAGGGCGGCGAGAAGGGGCCGCAGGCGCTGGAGTTGGCGGGGAAGGCGCTGTCCATGGTGCTGGGGCCGGCGGGCGAGGCGCTGTCCAGGGTGCTGGCGAGGCGCGCGGCGGGCGAGGGGGTGGGGAGAGGCGGCGAC